GGTTTTGTGCTGGTTAGGCTGCTGTGGCGGAGCGTGCGACAGGGCGGGTGGATTCCAGTAAAGGCATCCGTGCAACTTCCCTCCAGCCCCATCCCCGTGCACTTTTCTGCGCAGAAGAAGGCACTTTACTGCATCTGCGGACCCGTTCACCTCGCATATGGTAAGAGCCAGGATTTTCGAATGCAAATGTACAGTTTATTTTAAGGTGAAAATTGTGGCAAAATACCTGAAGCAGCATCACCATTGTGCCGTAGAGACGGCGTGAATTTTCGCTTTGCCAGTTCGTTTCGTCACAAAATTTACCACAATAAGGAGGACTATAATATTTACTGCTTAGAACATGGACAGTATGTGGGGGCATCTGAGCAAATACCTGTCTTTAGGCACATAATAAGATCCGTCGACCAGTTCATAACTGAGCAGATACGGTACATTAATCAAGGTGCTCAAGAGCCAAATCAATAACGTGATAGCTAGAGCTTGACGTTTCTGGAAAAGGTTCGATTATTGAAAGGATGATCAAAGCGGGTACGGTATGGAATTTGAGACACTTACAGTAACCGGCGCCTTGGTCGGATCAATAATGTGAAGGTATTTATCGATAGAGATGGCAGTAAGACTCCAACTGGAAGAAGCTTAGATATTCTTCAAGACTCGAGAAGCATAGCTCCCAACTTAAGGGCACGATGGACTGGGGCAGGCGGTTGCTGGCAACGTCATTGGTGGAAGGGCCAAATGGGGTATGGTCAAGCCCTCTCGCACCGTTCCACCAATGACGTTAGCAGCAACCGGCCCGCCCCCAGCCAGTACGCCAACTGCCTTTGAGTGAAAGGTTTGAGCATAATGAGATTCCCCAACATAAGAAACCTGGAAAGTACCTGGTCACAAAAACTGAGCAGGAATTTGACAAGGGCATGATATGACACATTGCTGAGCCAAACTGCCAGTTCTTCGTGAGCGCATACCTGCAATCAATATATCGATTTTACCGATTCCGACAAAAATTGGCCCTCGGATTAGGCCAAGGGCTCAATCGATCCAGACTCACCAGGGAGTAACTGGAACGGCAGTCAGTACCAGCAACAGATCGGTAAGGATAAGGTTGAGCAGGAAGATATTCCTGGCTGATCGTAACCGGCGATTGTTCGCCATCGCGAACACCACACCGCCATTTCCAACAAGGCCAAGTATGAACAATAGGCCGTAGACGAGAGTGAACGCTGATTTCACAAATAATTGTCTAAAATAATTGAATTATCACATGAGACCTCGTATTCGAGAATATGAATATTGTAGGTCACATTAAGTGTTGAGAGTTTCCTACTCAGAGTGCGTTCATACTTCGCGATTCAGTCGCTCTGATCACGCGAAGTATAACTGCCTTTTCGGGTGAATGGGAGTAGTCATGCCCGCCTTCGGCCCCTTCAGTGTAGACCTCCTTCATCCACGTAGTGGGAAAACAACCTTTCCGTACTGTCACAAGGGAAGTCTTAATTTTGATTCATTTACTCAGTTCGACTTTGAGCCTACTTGCTTCTTCCTCAGTTTTTTTTGACACTTTCTCTTTCAACTGATAAGTTTTCCCTTTATTTTCAGTTGTACAGTGGGGTATTTGGGCGGCTCGGGAGGGCATTTTGCAGTTCTGCTAGTTCCTTTTGCTAGTTCATGTCAACTAACAGGTCCTTATTTTTGGTGAGACTTGAAAGCGCCGAAATGCGCCGAAATGGTGTAATTGAGTCCCCTTGGTTACAAGAATTTACAAGTTTTCACAAGGTGACCTGCACAGACTTCGCTGAGTTCCCATTAGGTGCCCCCGCCATACCGAAATGTGCCATTATTTCTGTGCCGAGTTTCTTTTTTATGAGTATGTGGAGGATACTCCGCCATAAATAAATTAATATTTGTTCTGGAATTGCTTAAGCGTGTCAGTTGCCTATAGCAAAAAGATCGGGGCAGTTTTACACAGCGAACATAATGGTAGAATTACAGCAAAGTGGAGAAGATACCTATCATCAGTAATACAGTAATAAATTTAAGCCACTGTATAAAGAACCCTTGCACCCTCTCAACCTGTTATTTATTGACAGTCAGCTGTCAGTAACCACGAGACTAGTGAACGTGCCATCAAGCGCAGCAATCGATGTTCAGTTCAGACTTTACTCATGAATATCATGTTAGTTTATTACTTGATCTGGAAGTCATGCACAGAAATTTATTTTTTTTGCACGTAGTTCTATAGGCCTTTAATTGAAGGTTTTTGCGCTCTCCTCAAAAGGAATCGGTAATCGCACTTCGCCTGAAGCTGAAAAGGGTCGTCCATGTTACCCCACATCATAGACGATGCTCGATTTCACATGGCAAACCCTACCCACCAGAAAAATTAGTTGGG